CCACCCCTCACCTCTTGAGGGAGCCGCCCCTGCCTTCAGCCAGGACTTCCTCAGGAACTCGGCTTTGGACTCACCTGCAAGGTTAAAACCCTAAACTGTAAACAGGGCCTCATCATGTCACTTGGCTGTCAGACAACAAAGCATTATTCAGATCCTGAATTAGGCCACGACAATGACAGCCGCTAGTTCCCATAAAAGTTGCTAAATGCTCTGTCGCCTGTTTATCAAGTCACAGTTGAGTATGACAAAGGCCAGCCTTCGCCACAGCTTGTCTGCCAGCAGGGATATCCTGGGCCGACACCACAGTCTTTGGGTGCTTCCAGGCAGCCCCACCTCAGCACTAGCAAACAGAAGCCCAGCCAAAGCCCACACCCCTTTAGCCCCTTGTGGGGTCGGCAGTGAGCTCAAGACACAGATGCGCCCACGAGTAGACGGGGAAGCATTGCCACCTTGAAAAGTCCCTTAGACTCTGGGCCTCGTTTTTACTTGCTGTTAAATGAGGATAAGAGTAATAATGGGGTCAATATAAGGGATCAAACAAACAGTGCAAAGACAGGTGCTGCAAGCCCAGCAAGAGGGCCACGCACAGGAACGGGTGGAAAGGCAAAGAGGTGTGGAATTTCTCCAGTGGTGTCCTGGAGCCAGCTTGCTAGAGCCAGATTTTTAATGTTTGGAAATTTGGCTAGCCAGTTGACATCATGTTAGTAGCTTGAAATCAGCCATAGTAGGATTAAAACCCTAAACTGTAAAAAATAGTGTTATCAAACATCACCTTATTATGTAAATCACAAAAGTGGTCAAGATGCAGTTTTTCCCCAGAGAGCTAATTGTTCAACATTGCCCAGCACCACAGGATTTAAGTGAGAGTAAAAGGCGTCAGGAGTGAGTCTGCTGTTGCTTCACACACACCTTATACGTCCAGATAAATGTTGACTTCTTCAAGCAGTAAGCCTAGGAGGTCATATTGTTTCTTAACACTTACAACTTTTCCATTTCCACAAACATTTATTCAGACCTACAATGTGCCGGGCACCAGATAAAGATTCCAAAAAAACAAAAACAAAAAACCTTTTCCTGAATTGCTCACAGGATGGTAGGGGAGTGACAACACACACTATGGGACACCCTGGGAGTGGAGAGGTCCAGCCCCGGGCATGGAGGTCCAAGCCCAAGCCACTGGAAAGGGTGCCTTAGGCAGAGAGAATGGCATATGCAAAGGCACAGAGGCATGGGTGCTTTTTCTAAAATTCCTCTCCAAGAACTGGTTTCCAGTAAGTTTTAGAGTTGTGACATTATAAGTACCATTTATTCCAGCCAAAAAGTGCACCCCTCACCTTGCCCCCTTTGGCAGACTGTAGCACCAAATTTCCTTTGGCTGTTTATAAAAGACCCAAATCCACTTTCAAGGGGTGAGAATTTGCCATCCCTGTGACCAGCTCCTCAAAGCAAAGAGTAGCTCCCAAAGACATCTGATAGAGACAGTGTCCCTGAAGTGTGTGAGCCCAGACTCCCACTGTGACTACCTTGGGTGGCAGCAGGTACTTGTTTGCACAAGACCATTTAAATTTCCATCTCATTACTCAATAACACTTTACAGGGAACAATGAGCATCAACTTTTTTCTCTTAAGACATTTCCATGTCCTGCCTTGGAGAATGCCAGAATTTGAATTTCAAAAATGAAGGCAAAAAAAAAAAAAATCCAAAAGCGTCCAGACAGAAAAACAAGGTTAACTTCAAAGGAACACAACACAAGGTGACCTCATACTCTGCAACATTAAACACTAGCAGACAGTGGAACCAGGTCATGAATCTTATCCCAGCCAAGTCATTGTCCACGTGTAGAAGCAAGCTAATGCCATTCTCTCATTCACAGGAATTCAGAAAGTGTCACCCACATGCCCTTTCTGAAAAAAAATTTTTGAAGGTGCATCAACTGTCTGGAAAGGAATTAAAATACAAACCTCAAAAATGGGGAAGTTGACATGAACATATCTCCCTGGGCAAGGGAAACAACAGCAAAAATGAACAAGTGGGACTATATCAAGCTGAAAAGCTTCTGTACAGCAAAGGACACCATCAATAGAACAAAAAGGTACCCTACAGTATGGGAGAATATATTCATAAATGACAGATCCGATAAAGGGTTGACATCCAAAATATATAAAGAGCTCACGTACCTCAACAAACAAAAAGCAAATAATCCAATTAAAAAATGGGCAGAGGAGCTGAAC